AGGAGTCCTGGCTCCAAGCCCCCCTGCTCTAACCACTAGACCCCACTCCCTTTCCAGAGCTGGGGCGAGAACCCAGGAGTCCTGGCTCCCAGGCCCTCTGCTCTAACCCACCAGCCCCCACTCCCTGCCCACAAGTGCGGTGAGAACCCAGGCATCCTGACACCCAGTCCCCCGCGCCCCTGGCTCTAACCGCTAGACCCTGCTCCCTCCCAAGTGACGTCTGGCCCTGTGTAATGGTCACTCACCTTAAGGATTGATTTGGCCAACGCCTTGGTGTCCAGCTGCAGGATGTTCCCGACGAAGGGAAGCGGTGTGGGACCCGGGGGGAGATTCCTCCTTGCCAGCGCCTTTCTCCACGAGGCAACAACAGGAGGCATGCGACGCAGACCCCCAGGAGCAGAGAGAGGACTCCAGACAGCTCCATGGTGGAACGGGGTTCGGCCGCTCCGGCCGGGTGAGCTGCCCGATCTGCTCGGTGGCAGGACAGGTAATAATTAACCGCAGTGCCACCCACCCAGACTACTGTGGTTACGGCTTCGCCCGCTGGATCCCTGGAGCAGGCGTCTCCGGCTCTGCCAGCGATTCAGAAGGGAAATATTGCTCAAGAGTGAGTCGTATTCATTACACTATTGCTATTACATGCATTACGGTAGTGCCTGGAGGACCCAGCTAAGACTGAGGTCTCATTGTGGGGTATATTGTGGCCCGTAGCCCACCCAAGGTCTCACTGACTTCCAGGTGGACTTCCCATTGGCTTCCTGATTCACTTCCTGTCGACATCCCATTGATGTCCCGTTCACTTCCTGTTGACGCCCCATTGACTCCCCATTGGCCCCATTGACTTCCTGTTGGCTCCTTATTGACTTCCTATTGGCTACATTGACTTCCTGTCGACATCCCATTGATGTCCCGTTCACTTCCTGTTGACGCCCCATTGATTTCCCCTTGGCCCTTTTGACTTCTTGTTGACTCCCCATTGGCCCCATTGACTTCCTGTTGGCTCCTTATTGACTTCCTATTGGCTACATTGACTTCCTGTCGACATCCCATTGATGTCCCGTTCACTTCCTGTTGACGCCCCATTGATTTCCCCTTGGCCCTTTTGACTTCTTGTTGACTCCCCATTG